ATCAGTCTATGCACACCCGAATGCCGCTCTTTCTGCTTCCACTTCATGACCGTGAGGAAAACCACAGGCTGATCAGCCACGATGACGTTGAATTCAGTACTCGCTGCTCGGCGTATTCGCGCAGCAATGTCATCCGACTTCAAGATTCTCCTGATCAGCTCTCCAGGCTTTTGGTGGCTCCCAGGATAGAGATAAAAATTAGTCTAGTCGAACAAGCGGTCAAGTCAATCGATCTCCTCTTCGAAATAGAATGGGATTTATCAACAGAGGTCTCAAGTTGTATCCACAGAAAGCGAGCCGCCAAGAAGCAGCTACTCCATCGGAAGGCACAGAGAAGAATTTGAGGATGATGAGAGAGAGCTGAGAAGTCATGGCACTTGAAACTCGAGAAAAAGGCAGGCGAAAAGGTACCGAAAACGGCTACGATAGGCGCTGAAAAAAGGCAGAAAAGGCGTCGATAATAGCACTGGCGAGGGGCGTTTATTCTAGACTACTGAAATGAATTGCAGAGAGCTACAATGTGATAGGCCGCGTTCTCGGTCGTCGAGGAGCACCTGCGGTCTGATAAGAGCCCCTTGTATCTCGAAGTGCTGCGCTCCACATCGACACTCTTTGAGGGAGCGTATCGGAACGATGTCAAATCGGCGACGGTCAGGTTATTCAGACTTACCAAATCTCCTTCACCTCGGAGAAGACACGAAATTTCTTCTAGAATGCGATGACCTTCATTTTTGCGAATCACCATGTCGAGTTTCTCCTTCATCTGGACCGCTTTTGGTCCGGCTGCAGCCTGAATACAAGCTTTAATCCCGTCGAGAATACCGAATGTTGTTTCCATGCTCTGTTGTGTGCATTCGAGTCTTCTGATCGCCTCCGGTATGGTTCTGTAGTTGGAGGATAAAAAGATCAACTGCTGTTTCTAACGGGGGCTTGACAGCAGATCTCTGCACTTCGATATCGATACTGCCTCGTCGTCCCCGAAAGTCTGCGGGACTGCTTCGATCCTTTCGTAGTGATCGGCGTAGTAACATGTAGCATCTAGCCATGTTCCCCATCGAGTGACGACAGGCTGTGGGGGGAGTGCGAGGTCAGGGGCGATCTCCTTGAAACGCTGAACACGTGAAATACACGAACGAGTCGACCTCCGGAAAGAGCTTCCTCATCTCTTCACAAACTCTATGGACGCCGTGTACGACGCATGTGTTGTAGACCATCTTCGGAAACACGATCTGGAGTCCACCCGCAGCTTTTTCATGTACAGTGGTACCTCGACTTACGATCTTGATCCGTTCCCGGAGACCGATCGTAGGTCGAAACAGCACATCCCACAGGAGCGCATATTGGAGCGATTGATCCGCTCCGAGCGGAGGAAAAGGACCGCGAAGTTTGCGCGGGCATGCGCAAGCGACGCACGTTAGACATTCCGGCGTGAAGGTGCGAAAGGCGCTCGTGAAGTGAATCAATTGTCTTGAGTCGAGGCATTCGTCCCGGTGAAATCGGTCGCAAGTCGGATCGATGTTCGTAAGTCGGAACGAGTTCCTCTCAAAAAAGAAGATCGTTAGTCGAGGTACCTCTGTAGTTTGCGCCGTCCGTTACAAACAAGATAACGCGATGGTGAAATACACCGTTTGGTCAGAGGAGATTCATAGCGTTGCAGAAGGCTTGCGCGATTGTGGCAGGATTCATGCGTTCGACTACTTCCGAACTCAAGAGATGTGGTTTCGTAGGCTCTGACGCGTCCATCCGGCCAACTATCGTATTCATGACGAACTGTCCTTTAAGATCCGTAGTTTCGTCCATAGACACCCAAATTCTAGAATCGCCTCCGCGGATTCTGTCGATGGTGGCTCCATAGACTTTTTCAATTAGGTATGTCTTCCGGAGCGTCGTTTGATGCGGGAGAACTTTCATGGTGTACTTCTCAAAAAAGTTCCGGAATGAAGCATGTTCTACCTTATACAACGGTATGTTTGCCTCGAGCAGCATTTTGCACAGCTCCAGGTTGAACTAACTTTCCTTGTTCGAAACAGCTACAAAGCTGCTCAACAACGAAACTTGTGAAGATTCACCTTCCGCGCGACGATTTGCTCGATTCTTGTGGGAAGTCGGCTTCAAATGTTGTTGAACAAAATATTTCTTCTCACCATTCTCTGCCTTTTCGCACACTTTACGAAGTAAAATAGTGCCATCCGTTGAGAATGTCTCATCCCCGAACAACTTCACGAGGGCGCCCAATCTACCCTTCGATCTCAACGAAGACTTTGGCATTCTTCTTGCGCTTCGAGTCTCTCAATCGGCGATATACACGATACCACGAGATTCTTCACGGGACGGCTTAGCTTGCGTGAAGCCTAGGGATTACACAATTGATTTAGAACACGACTCATTGTCCGCGTTCGAAATGAATCGCCCATTATTCCGAACGACCCACGACATAAACATCTCAGCCAGCCGCAGGATTCGAGGAATCGAAGCTGCTAGGTTCGCCTCCCAGGAACGAAATATATCGATTTCCGATTTTGATAGGCCGCGAAAACCGCAAAAAAGGCATTTCCGACGCCTCTGAGCCGAAATGAGCGGATTCCGCACAGAATAGCCGG